ACATAGGGCAAGAATTGGGCCCTCTGGCTATGTGTGAAAGATGCAGAAGAGAATTTATAACTCATTTACAAGACTTAACTCTGCTTTTGTAGAAGGAGGCCAGGCTGTGCCTGTGCTTGTTTGCTTCTCTCCGGGAGTGGGGGAAGTAGGTGAGGTTCAGCAAACGCATGGAAAACCAAAAGTTGGAACAAAATGGGAAAGCAGACAGGCAAAAGTCAGTGTGAAAAAGTAACAAATGCAATGGGCATTTCAGAGAAAGATGGGTGAAATATCTAGTATTCTTTCCATTTCCCTCTACTCCCTCCCCGCTTCATCTTTCATTTGCACATTGTCAGTCTGCTTAGATTTTTATCTCTTTGAGCTGGGGCTTGCAAAATGCCCTGCCCAATTTTGAGCACTATATAAACAATAGGTAATGACTGTAAACCAAGAAGCATCTCTGTTAAAAGTGTTCCCTTCTGGAATAATTTAATGCCAGTTAACCTGTTTTAAAGGTGGATTAAAAAGCATAACGTGATTGTAAAGTTCTCAGAAGATAAGGCATATAAGCACAGTGCTCTTATTAAACTCGTAGCAGCAGAGAACAGTGCAAATTTTTTGGTATAGAATGCAAAATCAGAAGTCGTCTCTGGCAGTCTCAGCTACCACACAGCAATATAAGGCATCCCATAAAGTCTTTCTGTTTTCCTCTCAGTTACAGAGGTCTGAGGACATTAGTCTGTCTTTGTGCCTTACCTCACCTCTTTGCTGTCTTCGTTCTGTCAACAAAGCCGTTTTCAGCCTGTCTCTGGCTTTCTCAAATATCTTCATACTGTCTTTCACCTGGGCTTTTTTGCTTGGGAACCCAACCTTGATTGATTTCTGTACTCCTAGCCAGCTTAATACCTTCTCAACACCGACTTCTGTCACAAAAATTTCAGGATTAGCCAATGCACATGACTAAATTGAGGGACATTTCACTGTTTACTGCCTTGGTTATTACAAAAACTATTTGCATGTAGCAAGCATAGGCATGGGTGCGTGTGTAACATGGGTGTGTGTACTGAAACAGTGTGTATCCAGATCATCTTTCCTTCTCTTACATTTCATAACTTGCTCATGGTAAAGCCATCTTTGTCCTGAACTGTCAGCTTTCTCTGAGGACAGAAACCTGCAGGTTGACATTTTGTATTTTTATGCATTTCAAAGCCTTGAGCTGGAGTGAAGCTATGATAAAACATCATGAAGAAGTTGTGATCAGTTTATGCCATAAAGTTAATGGCAATGTGAAAGTTCAATAATCACAGTTACAGTAGTCTGAAATTTACAACCTGACATGGAGAAATATTTGTGGATCCACTTCTGTATTGATCAGCCTTTTCTCTTCGGCTACAGATCACAGCATGGGTGCAGTATGAGCTGGGGCTGCTCACTTTGGTGAAGGGGGATCTAATAGCAACCTACATCAAATTTGTAAGGGAGTGACAGACGTGATGGAGTGATGGGAGAGGATATAACGAGGAGCAACAGCCACGTTTACAGCTTGGGAGATTGAGGTTGGACATGAGGAAGGACCTTTTCACCAAGAGGCTGGGGCAGCCCTGCCACAGGTCACCCACAGAGATGGTGGTAGTTTCATCCTTGGGGTTTTCAATGATCAGCTGTGCAAAGCCATGGCTGACACAGCAACCTAGTGTTGGTGGTAATCTTGCTTTCAGTAGGAGGTTGGACGAGACCTGCAGAGATCCCTTTTAATCAGTGCTTCATTTATGTTGAGTCTTTGATTTTAAAAGAAGAACCTGACCACTGTGAAATATTAAGCTGCTGGTTTAAACGTTATGGCAGATCTCTGAAAATGGTGGGGTGGCTTTGTGACCTGCCCTTAGGAAATAGGGTTAGACATGCTTCCAGTTTTTCAGATATTTCAGCATGGGTGCCAAACAGCTCTGTAACCCACAGTCTTATCTACCCTTGCCTGCAGAATATGCACGTCACAGGAAACAGTAATGAAAGTTTCTCCAGTTCTTGCTGACAGTGTAGTTTTGACTGAAATAGAGAAAATGCAGCTGGTAGGGGCCCTGGTGAGGCTCCCCAGCCTGCCCCAGTGCCAAGGCAGGGTTGAACATTTCTATGGCATTCATCTTCTAGACCTTCAGTGCACGAGATTTCAAATCAGCTTCCCAAGATTGGTCCCAGACAACCCGCTGCAGCCACCTCCCCTTCCACTAAAGGCCTTAGCCCCACCATGAAGTCTACCAGCCAGGGTATCAGTTTGTGCAGCCATGGTTGTGTTACTGCTGTTCCAAATGGACAGACAATTGCCCATTAACAACTAAAATAAAACTCTCCGTTCCTTTCATGCAAACACATGTTTAGTCTTGGCAATTTTAAATAAATTCAGTTAAACATTCCAGTTTTTAATAATTCCATTTTAAATAAAGTCTCTGAAGGGAACAGGGTCTGTAGAACAGGATTATTTGTGTAAGTCTTAACTCGAACATTTCTTGCTTCAAAACTGATTCCTCTTTCATTAAAGAAGAAAACTGCTGAAATCCTGTGCTCCCTGCACTGCACTGACCCAAACCTCCCTGCATCTTTCCTCAGCAGAGACTTACCATGTGCACAAGGAATTGTTCAAAGTGCATTGGGATCACCTTGTTCCCACTGGCAGCATGTGCCATAGTCTCCAACATCCTCCTGTACTTCCCCAACGGACGAGTTCTGCAGCTCAGTGAGATAACCGATCTGGTCTGGTTTTTCCATGGCATACTGGGAGCTGGGATACTGGTAAGAGAGAAGAGTTTCTACTGTTTCTTACAGGATGGTTTTTTGTTTTGTTTTGTTCTAAATTCAGGGCTAAGAAACCCTCTGTTAACAAAAAAAAGTCACAGAAATGTCTTTTGCATAAACATGTGAGCAGCTTAAATGGGAAGTTGGGGTTCAGGACTGAGAAAGTACATTCAAGACTGCAAAAGTCCCTAATCATGGGAATACAAGGTATTCCTGAAATAAATGTCAGGGCTCCAAGTCAGGAGGAAGCAATAGGATGGAATTCTCACTGTCGAGAAGGGTGACATGGGTGTTCATGTCTCCATGAGTCAAAGCAAAGCTGAGGTCCTAAGCTCAGCTGGAGGTGGTGAGTTTTCACTATTGGCTGCACTCCCTCATTACTCCTCTAACTGATGTTATGCTCACATAATTCACAAAAAACATTTAGGGCAAAATTGAAACATGTTTCAGTAGGTGTTTGTTAGAGACCCAGCCAACACTCAACGAATGTGGAGCTGCAAATGGCTTAAATCCTGAACGCCCCATGTTCCCACATATCCACCTACCTCCTTTTGGGTTTGATCTGGTTTGTATGTGCTCTTCTATAACCAGTTCTCCATTCCACCACTCAGGAAAGATTGCTTTTATGTGAACATCCATAACTAGAAGGGAACGTGTTTGGGAATACTGATCTTTCCAGTTCATTAGAAAGCCTGCTCCCTTTACACTCTTCCAATTATCTACGCAAGTGCAGATAAAAAACCGAGCAAGTAACGTGCATATAACAAGTACTTGCTGTTAAGCAGCCTAGGCAGATGGTAAACTGGCAGAGAGCTGCTACCTGCACAACAAAAAAATGAATGTTTAAGAATAATTAACTTAGAGAAAAACAAATTTCATTCACCGTCAGGCTATGATGCAGCTACCACTGAAGTCTATGGAAAAGCTACAATGGATGTGGTTCAGACTCATATTTCCCAAATAAGAAACATGGTATAAGATCATTCAATAAATTGTTCTCCACCAGCAGCTTCCCTGCTTCTTCTCCCAGCTACCGCTTGGGCCTATTACTCACGCTGAGCTTGAACATAAGCATGAGTTTGTGGAAGGAAGCCTAAAGGAAGAAGTGGAACTACATGAGAGACCTGTGGAAAATTTGTATCATTGCAAGCCCAGGAGTCATTGGCGTTCAATGAAAGGAAAGGGTGATGTTAGGAATGAGAGCGTCACAGGCTCATTGAAAATGTGCCTGCTTTTAAGGCTTCCACAGAGGCTTGCCTGTGGCCAGCACCACGTACATCAAAAATGAGAACAGCAAGTGAGAGGGGAGGAAAAATTTGCATTGACCTTCAAAACACAGCATTAGGAGTAATTATTGATCCACAAACAATGCTGTTGAGTGTATGTGTTTTCCAGAAAACACCATGACAAATGCCCACAGGTGAAGAGAAGGGGAAAGAAAGTATTATCATCATCTCCATTTTCCAGGTGCTGGAAGCGTGGAAAAATGAAGACTGGCTTCTGGGCCTTGTAGGGAGCTAAGCAAAGGGCAAGAGTGCCCCATGACAGAGCCTGGGCCGTATCCTGACTCCACAGTGAGGACAGACCGAGCTGCACTGTGTTCCCCCACGCACCCAGCTTCTCCCCAAAGGAAATTCAGGAAAGTCACCCCAACAGGTTGCCCAGTCTTGGAGGATCTCCCTGTGACCAGGACACAGCCTCTGGAGCCAGGACTGTGGGGGAAACTTCATAACAGCCTGGCCTGGCTCTGTGAGCCAGAAAACCTGCCTCCACCTGGGAACTTCATCCAGAGACTGATACCTAGATCATCAGCACACTCTTTGGCTGAGCAGCCAGCCCCACCCTTTCCGCCTCCTCTGCTACTTCTCTAATGGAAATTTATATGACGTAAAAACCTCTCTATTTCCTTATTTCAAAAGTTTAGGGTGTAAAGAGAGGAAGACTGGCTCCATGTGTCATAGCAATGTCTTTCCTGGTGGAAAGCCTATGTGCAACACTGGGAAACGCCTGACTGAGCCATGGCTCACATGCAGCCCTCATTTTACTGACAACAGCCAAATCCAGCAAATTCTCATTCCCATGTCAAAAGGCAGGTGTTTATAATCAAGCACTGCAAAAAAAGAAAGCTGCCAAGTAAACCCTTCATCCTGAGCCAGGCTAATAAATGACACAAAGGTGTTCACAGCTTAGATGGGAAACCTCCTAAAAAGAAAGACAGCCCTGCAGGAAAGGGAGTGTTGGTTTGATGGGCAGAGGTATTAGCTCTTCTTCTGAGTGCCAGACAGTGGTATGCTGGGGTTGAAGCTGCCTTGCAGACCACCTGTGATTACTTAAGAGCTGACATCTTTCCAGGAAGAGGAACGTCTTTTTAACCTCAATGCTCTACATCTGCAGCCTTCCAGCTATGGTCCAGCAACCACTGCAGGCACTGGAGGCTGCCTCTGGGGTGAACACAAAAGGCAATGGAGAGAAAATCCTTTGAAAAATATTTATGGGCTTGCAAATCTAAGCAGATTTCATAACACTGTCCTACACAATCTGACAGAGATATGCACACTGCACACATAAATTCTCTGGGCTTCATTCACCATGGTGTATTGGGTTTGCATGGCAAGGTTTTAGTAGTCGGGGGGCTATAGGGGTGGCTTCTGTGAGAAGCTGCTAGAAGCTTCCCCTATGGCCAATAGAGCCAATGCCAGCCGGCTTCAAGAGGGACCCGCTGCTGGCAAAGGCCAAGCCCATCAGCAACTGTGGTAGCACCTCTGGGATAACAGATTTAAGAAGGGGAGGGGGGGAACGGCACAACAGCAGACAGAGAGAGGAGTGAGAACATGTGAGAGCAACAACCCTGCAGACACCAAGGTCAGTGCAGAAGGAGGGCAGGAGGTGCTCCAGGCACCAGAGCAGAGATTCCCCTGCAGCCCCTGGTGCAGCCCATGGGGAGGCAGCTGTGCCCCTGCACCCATGGGGGCCCACGGGGGAGCAGAGATCCACCTGCACCCGGGGAGGAGCCCACGCCGGAGCAGGGGGATGTGCCCCAAGGAGGCTGTGACCCCGTGGGAAGCCCACGCTGGAGCAGGCTCCTGGCAGGAGCGGTGGCCCCGTGGAGAGAGAGGAGCCCACGCTGGAGCAGGTTTGCTGGCAGGACTTGTGACCCCGTGGGGGACCCACGCTGGAGCAGTCTGCTCCTGAAGGGCTGCACCCCATGGAAGGGACCCACGCTGGAGCAGTTTGTGAAGAACTGCAGCCATGGGAAGGACCCACGTTGGAGAAGTTCATGGAGGACTGTCTCCCATGGGAGGGACCCCACGCTGGAGCAGGGGAAGAGTGTGAGGAGTCCTCCCCTGAGGAGGAAGGAGCGGCAGAGACAACGTGTGATGAACTGACCGCAGCCCCCATTCCCTGTCCCTCTGTGCCACTCAGGGGGAGGAGGTAGAGAAACTGGGAGAGAAATTGAGCCCAGGAAGAAGGGAGGGGTGGGGAAAAGGTGTTTTAAGGTTTGGGTTTATTTCTCATTACCCTACTCTGATTTTATTGGTAATAAATTAAACTAATTTCCCCAAGTCAAGTCTGTTTTGCCTGTGATGGTAACTGCTGAGTGATGTCCCTGTCCTTATCTTGACCCACAAGCCTTTTGTTATATTTTCTCTCCCCTGTCCAGTTGAGGAGGGGAGTGATAGAGCAGCTTTGGTGGGCGCTTGGCATCCAGCCAGGGTCAACCCACCACACATGGACATTCTACTCTTCCTGCCCTACATGAGACAACACCTCTCCAACATCATCAGGCTGTTTTTACAGCTTTTACCTTTTTGTTTGTTTGTTTGGGGGGTTCTTCTTCTTTCATTAACTTTGTAAGGACCATTTCCTACTTTCTCAAATACTCATTTTCTTGCATTGCTCTTTGAGATGCCTACACAAGCAGTGGTGGGCAGAGGCAAAGCAGCAGGAGTGCTCTGGCTGCACAGCTAGATCCACAAAAGCTTTCTCACCTTCTAGCTACCAAACTCAATGCAGCTTTTCCTATCTCCAGAGTGCCTCTGTAAGGTGGCATTATATCCTGAGACGCAGATGGTTGCTGACTCCATTGTATCAGTCCAGCTCCACCTGATAATTACCATGGAGAAAGCTGATGTGAACTAGGAGTTCCTTGTGAGTGAAGTCCATTTTGTAAGTTTTCCAGAAGCTTAGCACAAAGACCCAAAGTCAGATGTTTTCCAGGAAGTTTAAGACTGATTGCCCAATTATAATCCAGAGCACGATGCTCAGAACATTTAAACTGACATAATTCTTACTCCAGTGATGTGTCTTTTCTGAGCAGAAATTCCATTTTCTCAAAACTGACATGTTTGTTCCTGAAAAAAAAAATAACCCTTGCTGAAAAGAAGCAGTATACCTTCAGCAGCCAGAATTACTGTACCAGAAGCTTGCCAGCCAGCTGTAGCTGTAATCCCATGCTTCTTCCTGAGTTACTCCTCAGCAACCACCAATACCTAACCAGGTATAACTCACAGAGAAGAGGCACAAGGTGGTTTGCATTTGAGGAACATGGTGCCCCAGCTCCTAGACTTTAAAAAACATCCCAGCAGAAGTACTGCACACCAACTCAGCTTGTGCTTTTCTCACAGGTTATTTTGCCAGCATCCATGATCCTGGGAGCAGGCGGAGCAGGATGTTGCGCTAACAGATGTGGGGTAAGTGGATATTTATGTGTTGAAATGGCACTATAGGGTTTGCACAATAGCTCTTAAATGGCTGCTCAGCAGGTGGAAACGTACAATGATAAACCATCACACCACCATCAACAGCCATGTCAGGGAAATGCAGAAGAAGAGCTTGATCTGCAGCGTCCCTGGGCTGGGGCTGAGAGCTCAGTTAGCCATCAAGAATGTTATGATATTGAAGCCGCTGATATGAGGGAAATCAGCTAGGGCAGGTAGTGGAGCATTTAGCCACATCATTGAGGGCAGAGGGGGACAAAGCTACTTCACTTCTCCCCACATAAAGTAAAGCACAGCTCCAGCTTCCTCCTGCTCGAGGTGATCCTAAAGATTGAGACAGCTGCCTGTTCCTTCTGTTTTCACCTGGTCCAGCTTCCTCCATACCCTTCCATGGCAACTTGCTTTTCCACAGGTTCATCCCTGCTTACCTCTGTAGGAGCAGACAGGTCCCCTACATTGCAGGCCCATGCTAAAAGCCTGAGCTGCTGCTGGCACTAAGGAGCCAGCACTGCTTCCTAGAGGCTGGTCCCCATGGAAGGCTTTGACCCATAGCATGCATTTGCCCAAGCATTATGCACATGAAAGGTGCAAATGCAATTTCGGCGCTCTGTCATCCAGACAAAGGCCAGAGAGACTTTTTCCCTTGATAATTAAGAATATTATAAAGCAGCACATTATACAGGCATCTCCATTTATCCTCAAGCCCTGGGCGCAGACTTCTATGTGGCTATCATTATTAGCGAGAATAAACTGACTTAGAAATGTTTTTTTTAGTCTGCATCCTCCCCAGAAGCAGCCTGGAATGAGAGATCCCATACAATAAAGCATGTCCCTTCTGTGCTCTTCAATTAATACTTAGTTTGATCCATGAGAAGACCTTTACCTCTTCAAGATGTTTTACTTAAGTTAATTCATTATTCATAATACCAAAATAACATTCTTCATTAGGATGTCAGCAAGTACATCCCAAGGGACCTGTCATTACATTGATTTTTACCAAATGTCACATGCATAGAGAGGATGCTAACGATGGCCAAGTAGGCCAGCTGCAGAGCTGGGATGTGAGCCTAGGCACCCTGAACCCATTGCCTGAGCTAGCTGCTTCTCCTGGTTTTGAGTGATGTAGAAAGCATTGGTGAAAAAACAGCCATGCTGCGGATGTTTCCATGCTCTGTTGAACATGGTAAGTCATGAGGGGAAATTCAGCTGAACCAGGCTCTGGCCATACAGCATCTCAGCACTCCCTTCTCCATCCTTCATCCCAGCACTAAATATTACAGAGCCAAGAGCCAAACTTCCCCAGACTGGCTGGGTTCACTCCCTCAGCCCACCGATGCAGGTAGTAGCACAGTGCCATCCAGCAGCCTGCATCCACAGACCCCCGCGCTCCTCCGCTCCCTTCCACCACCCTTTCGCTGTCTGAGCCATTCCTAGCAGCAGCACATGGATGCCAGATATCCTGTCTGCACCTTCCCGTCACTGATCAATTACCTACAAGTTGTTCCTCCTTTTCCTTATTTGCTGTTATAGAGGAATACAATAGATATTTTTGAGAAAGTAGTTTGATTATGCGCTATGATATTTGTATAAAGAGAGCTAGCTGATGACCAGGTGATGAAGCTACTCAAACCAAACTAGAGGATAGTCTCGGTGAGGACAGTATATCTTTGAAAATGCTGTCTTCTAGGACTGTGGGAATTGCACACCTCTTTGAGGAGGAAAGGGGTGAAGCTCTACAGGTCACTCTATGGTTTAAACAGAATGTGGCTCAATGTAGAGATGAGATGGGGTCATGAGCAAAGAGCAAGTGGTTATGAATGGCATTAAAAACAACCACTTCCCCTGCACAGCTCCTAGGGAAGAGTGATTTCCAAGCATGCAAAAAGAGGTGAGTATTGCAGGGAGATCAGAGGGCTAATGATGTTGTTCTTCAGGAGAAGAAACCTCAGGAAAACTTTGGTTTGGGGATAGCAGGAGGAAATGCACAGATACCCTGACTGTATGGGCTGTATACCCAAGGCAGGGTATGGTGTGAATCACCAGGGGCTAGAGAGCAGAGGAGCCCTGGGACTGGTTCAAACATGCATGATGGCAGCGACTTCCCAAGGTGCCAGAGCTCCTTGTGAGGTGGGTCCGGGTGGACCTGTTACAGGGTGCCCAGCTCTTGGTGGCTTGTCCACCAACTTCTACCTACTGGCAAAGAAATAGCCCGCACTGGAACTACTCAGGAGCCTCTGTAATCCAAAGGTCAGTTTGTCCACCTTTCTGCTTTGGAGACCTTAGGTATAAAATTATAATTTACACTGAATACTCAGTATTGCTTTTCATAGGAAAAAAAAGGGGGGCGGGGGGGGGGGGGGTAAGAAAAAAAAAAAATTTAGGTAGGGGGGGGGGGGGGGGGGGTGGCTAAAGAACAAATACTGATCAGAATAATTATTCAATCAGAACATAACAATTTTCCTCAGGGCAGGGACTCTATCCTATTATATTTTGTGCAATCCATGGTTTAGTAGTTTCAGACTTCAACACAGCCTTTACATGCTGCTGAAGTATCAACAACAGTAATAATGATTACTAAATTTCTCATCCTTTTACACACCTTATTGAGTTCTCTAGTTCATGGTGATTACATACTGCATTGAGTAAGTTTTTTCATTAATCCATTTTAAATTGTTGCCTGCAAACATACCTAGATGGCTTCTTGTCCTTGCATTATGGAGTAATGATTTTGGAAAGTAAGATTTAGAAAGCTTCCATGCCTTGCAGCTTAGCATGTACACATCTGAAAGCATCTACCACACTGGCACAATGAGGAAAAAAAGCCCCACAAAATACAGCTTCTGTCATTGCATCAGCAAATACACTCCAGTATTTCTCTCTAAGCCTTCCTTAAGAGTTACTAGTAGAACAAGAATAGCCATAGCAGCTTTCCAGACAAACAAACCTAGATTAGCAAAGGTATATGGATAACCAGAGAGGATATTAACTCCACAAAAACACCTCCAGAGAAAGAAACAGAGAAGAAAGAAATGTGCACGAAACAAGAACCAGGGCAATAAAGAGCAGCACAAGCTGGGACAGGAGGAACTTGGTAACTTCACCAAAGCAGCTAATGCAAATGCTCAAAGAGTGAATGCTAAAAGTCTTCATCAGCTCACCAGAGACAATCCAATTGTGTGAAGGATAAAGCAGGGAAAATATTACAAGAAAACCAGCAAAAATGGTCAGCTGAACATTTGCAGAAGGTAGAGAACAAGCCAACACCAGGGGAAACTATTTCAACAAACTCAAGTATCCCAGGTTAGATCTCATGTTGCAACTGAAGAAACAAATGAGGAAGTAAAAAATTTCAAAAAAAAAAGTGATAAGTGAAGGTGGTACAGCTAGGGAAAATGCTGAAAGGTTGAGATGATATGATAGTTAACAAAATTGTTGGATTTCCATAGAATATGGGACAAGTCTCCAGAAAAGACTCCAGAAGAGTAGATATAATGGGGAAGTGCCACTGTGTGTCCAGAACATTCCCAGGAGAGCCAATTTAACAGCTGCAGCAACTTCAGACTCCCCTTTCAGCGACAAGTAGTCTTTGTCTACATAAACATGTGCATAGTAAAGGAAATAGGTGAGATGAAGGTAGCCATACAGCCAACAGATTTCAAATGAGAAAATCATGTGTCAGAGAATAGTCATCAAAGATAGCACTGATGAGTACTACTAGTACTAACCACTATCATAAAACATAGTAATAGCAAAAGACCATTTGACTTTTTCTATCATAATTGTCTTCGGGATGCCCATACTTCTATGCTGTGCTAAAACTAATTGTTAACATAATTAAGATCCTTCAACCAAGATGCAGATTGCACAGTTGAAGTAAATGAGAAAATAGGTGGGGAGAAGTGGTTCAGCATAGGTAGGAGTTTCAGACACTCACCTTCACCGCAAGGCATGGCTGGTGATCTTATTGTGAGAGACAGTGCATCAGCTACAACCCAGCACTGCTTTGGTCTGAGACAATATACTAAATTACCTATGTTTTGCTGACAATGAAGCTCTGCTAAGAGGCAACTCAGCCAACATGCAGATAAAGACGAAAAGAGTGTCCAGCTTTGCAAAAAACCACAGAGTTATTAAACAGTTATGATGAAATAAATCTCATGAGAAATCCCAGCAACGTCTAAGTCAAAGATTGCTTTAGAGGCAAAAGGACACACAAAATGAGTCAATTCACGCACTGGCAGCATGCAAGGTTGTACAGAAAGCAGTAATGTCATCGTCTGGCAAGTTGGAAACTGCATTCACCAGCTTGAACACGTTTGGATAGTGAATAGTTTTCAAGGCTATGTCACAAATCTGCAATGTGGATGGTGGATATTTCCACTTGACTCTGTAATGCAGCACCCTGTGGAGCAGCTGGTATTCGGAGAATGTTTCTACCTTCCTTGGGGGCTATTAGATTTCACTGGTATTTGCTGGCAACAGGGAAATGTTGCCAGAGGTATTTGGCTTCGAACCCAAGTCATGGAAGGGAGTGTTTCCCATGCGCTTCCTCAGCCGTGCCTCTGCCCTGACTCTGAGGCAGTCTTGCCGCCTTGCCCCTAGCCCAGGTCTCCCCCTGGCTCTGTCAGTCTGTTCCTTCTTGGCAGAGTTGTAAACAACCACAGGCAGCGACTCTTAACAAGCCTAGCGGGAAGCCTGGCCCAGATACACCACCAGTAGCACCCACCTCAGATTCTTGTTTCTATACACAAACAGCAACCAGATACATTCCATCCATTAATAGAAAATTCCCACAAAACAGAGCAAAGGTAACATTTCTGTGGGAGTGGCCAATGTAAAACATACAGGTGCATTACATATAATTCGAAGTCACCACTGGTTCTTTGCCACACGCAGCACAATTAGATTTCTCAATGGGAACAATGGTAACCACATGTCATGCTGTTGCAAAATGAAGGAAAGCAGCAATAAGAAAGGCTCTTTTGCATTTCTCATCAATAGGCAAAAACAACTAATGCATGTTCTGTTGCTTTCATACCTGGTTCGGTAGTTGCTGGCTAGTTTCTGTTGGTACAAGGGCTGAGAAAGGTGCTCTTCGTGAAGAGATGAAAATGCCAAGGCACATGATGTGGACCAACCACATCAAGCCATTACTGGTTTCATATTGTCTTTTTGAAAGAAGACCACCAGATTTTTCATAATTGATTAGTCAAGTATAAAACTGAATAATTAAAGCTCTGGGCTTACCCACTTTTAAAAGCAAAACAAATACAGGCTGACATCCTTTCACTAGGATAGCTGCATTAGTCAGAAAAAATCAACTATTTTTTTATTGCCACAAATATCATATTATTATTATTATAAGTTTCAGCATATAGTAAGAAACAGATAAAGACTGTTTCTTTCCCATTCAGTGTAAGGTTTCCATGCTACTGAATGCCTCTGTGCATGCAATGTTGAAGGTATTTTCCCTTTCAGATGCTGCTGTCGGTGTTCCTGGCTCTGCTGGGATTCACGGGAGGAGTGTATTGTGCAGTCATCTCCTCACTGGGGCTGATTGGGGGCCCTCTGTGCGACACGGGTGATGGAGAATACGTCTACCCCTTCAGGAATGACACTCTGGAGTGAGTATGACTTACAGGCTCCTCCAACTTTGCTTTCTGTAATCCCCCCC